GGATGGATGGGGAAAGGGGGGTTGCGAATGGGAGTTGGATAGAAAGAGGAAATCAGAGTTTGGGAGGGAGGGGAAGGTAGTTGAGGGAAGATGGCGGAACGGGTCCCACCTTGGCTGCAACCAGCTTCTTAACTCACCTGTCCTGCTGTGACCTCCCTCCAGCCATCTCATCCCCCAGCCCAGCCACTTTCACCCACTCCTCACTGAATCTCAGCAACTCCCACCTTGGTGGCGCCCAGCTGCTCAATGCCACCATTCACTTCACTTATCGCCTGCGCATGACTCAAGAGATTCCTACACGCGACTCCTCGTCCCGAACCGACTCTCGCCTTGGCGAGATCCAGCTTGTCAACCGCCCCCGGGCCCCGTCCACCCATTGTTAACACTCCAGGCATCCCCTATGGCCTCCGCCCGCCCCAGCAGCACTCCCCATCCTCCTCCCCTTCACCCCGCCTTCACTCCCCTTCAACCTCCCTTCACTGCTCTCTCGAGTGAACCTCCCCTAACCCACAGATTCCGCTCACCGACTCTCACATACATACCCACCCATGACCGACTCTCACCTTCGTCATCCATCCGAAGCCACAAGAGCAGTAGATATGCCGAAGTGGCATGTGTGAGCAACCATGCGAATCTCGGGACCTGGATCTTACTTCACTTCTCATTGTGTGCTTTCGACCTCAACTATATAGACCTGTGGGGAGGTGGGAGCAGAGGCGCGGGGATTGAGGACAACATGAGCGGAAAAAGGGGGGGGGGGGGGGGGGGTTGGAGGGTGACGTGGGGGAAGGGGGAAGAGGCAGAATGGGAGAGAGAAGATGGAGCAGTAAATAGGGACAGGGGGAGGTCAGGAAACCAATAGCAGCGGCAGTAACTGTTGCAACACGTGGATGGCACAATGACGCCTCAACAAGCTGTGCCACGTGGCATGCGACAACTGAATCTCCTTTATCCGTCCAATCTTCCCCGCACCATCATCCCTTCGCCTTTTACTTTATGCATCATGAAATGTCCCATTAACCATATCTGACACGTCAGTAGTAAATAGCTCTAATGTAAGCACCGGACTAAGCGTCTTGCTGCTGTGACGCCATGCGTTGAATGCTCAGTGAAACACAGAAAGCGCAGCTTACCATCAGCATTACTCCGTCCTTCCAACCCCTCCAACGAAATCCACCGCATCTTCGACGCCCCAACAAAAAAGCCTGAACAGGTCGAGGCGGCCTCGGTGCATACCGCCTGTGCATGCGGCCAAGTCGCCATCCTATCTCAGAAATCCCGCGAATGGGTGTCGCGATTTGCCTGAGCAGGCAACAGGGACCGCCGAAGGAAGGCTGCATCACTTGTGCGGCGTCGCACTAGCATCACCAGCCGCAGCAACAGCAGCAGCTGCGCGCCGTCGCGGCGCGAGGCGAGAGCGAGCAGCAGCATTCGCAGCAGCAGCGGCGGAAGCTGCGCGCCGAGCAAGGCGGGAGTGCGCGATGTGGGGAGAGTGATAGTTGTCTCGAATGGACTCGAGTCTGATAATGCCGCAACCTAGCAGCGGCTGGCGACACGGGCAGGAGGACGTGTCGTTGCTGTAGCTGCTACTTGAAAATAATGTCTGTTTGTGGCTGCAGGGGCTATTGATGGGACTAATAGTGGATTGAGTTGACGTTGACGAAGACGCTGGCGACGATTCCGCCAACGCGACGATGGAGCGGACGGAAAAGCAGGTACGGTTCCATAGACAGCTCGTAGAAACCGCCATGGATTTTTCATGCTTGAGGGCGTGGACTCGTGAACTGAGAAGAAGCTATGCACGGAAGGTTCAAAAATAGGGTTGGAGTGCTGTGATGATTATAGAACACAGATTGATATGACGAAATGTGTGATTAAAAAGCCCCTTTTACAGTACACGTTCACAACCTAGCTTAGCGAGATTCGTGGTGGCTGAGGTTTGGGCAACGGCGAAATCGAAAGGTTCGGAATCGACTCGACTCAGCTTCGGTTTCGTCAACTCGGCCGAGCCTGATCCCCGTCATGTTCGGGGCTTCGTCCGATACCTAAAATGACGCCACCAAACCAAAATCAAACCGAACGCACAGACCGAAGTATACGCATACCAAACCAAACGCCTTCCCAGGAACCAAAATGCCAGCCAAGCTTGGCGTGACAGACATACTCATTTTGCTTCGGCACGGCAAAGCCGGAGTAGCTGCTAGTTTTTCGCGAATCGGAACCTCGTAATCTTCGGTAAGTCGCACAATGCGGCAACGACATGAACATACTCAGTAACCCTATAATGTTTGCTTCCACGAGGCAGAACGACGCTCAATCAGAAAGCTTACTAGAATCCATTCGCCGACGTCCGATCTTTTCGCGTTCGAGGCTTCTAGGCTCTGCTGTGCGTTGTCAGTCCATTTTTTTGGCGCCTACGAATGGTCGCTGTGCTTTGCTGTCGGTTCTGCCAGGTTCGGTCGTCGTGATGGGTGCTTTGAGCTGTAGGCTCGGCGCGCTTATGCTCTCCATGCAGTCCGCAATGTGACTATTGACCCCTCCCAAGGTCCGTTATTGCTTTCATGTCGCCTGGCTGAATGTGGTGATGTGTCGCCATCATCTTGCTGTCGTTCGCCTTGTCTCGTCACCATATTCGAGTTGTCACGGCCATTTCGATATGTCATGCGCATTCCGAAAGCCACGCCCCCGTTTCACCATGTCGCGCCGCCATCCGCTCAGGCGACGGTGAGTCGCACTTGCACCGCTTGCATTTTCTTGAGAATGCGCTCCCTGCATGCTCTCCGCGCTTTCGCCTAGAAGTACGAGCGGTGTTACTAGCATTACAGGCCACGCGCGCGTCTAGTGCTAAGGCGCGACTGGGGGCCGTGGCTTGACGCGGTCAGGTGGCTGTAGGCTCCTTGAGTCACCGAGACCTGATGGCGTGGCATATGGCGGGGCCAAACCCGTGGTTTAGTTTGGCTCCTGGACGCAAAAGCGGATGATCGTAGTAGCGCGGCTCGGCTGCGTGCTTGCCATGTCCAGCTGTGGTGGCAGTTGGTACGGCGAGCACGCAGCGGCGTTTCACGCGTAGCGGCGTAGCTGAAGCTGAGGTGGGCGGGCGTTCCCAGTGGCATGACAGCGAGCGCGAGAGAGCTCATTCCCCCACGCAAGGCGCACTGCGGACCAGACAGCACGCGATGCCTAGGGGGGCTGCGTCTGTGGGAGAGCTAAGTGCCGTGAGGCTGCCTTTACGGACGTGCCGCGTATGTGCTTGTACCTTGTCGCTTGGGGAGCGCATCGTTGCTTTGTGCATCTTCGCGCACTGTATCGTTGCGCTGTGTATCATTGCGCTGTGTATCGTTGCGCTGTGTATCGTTGCGCTGTGTATCGTTGCGCTGTGTATCGTTGCGCTGTGTATTGTTGCGCTGTGTATCGTTGCGCAGTGTATCGTTGCGCAGTGTATCGTTGCACAGTGTATCGTTGCGCAGTGTATTGTTGCGCAGTGTATCGTCGCTCAGTGCGACTGAGTCAACCCCCCTATGGACACCCCCCCAACTGTCGAACTTTCTTTGTCATTGAATACAAGTGGTACAGCAAATTCAATGGTAAAGAACCAAGGTAAGAATCCATAAGCCAACCTAAGCAAAGAATAAAGCCCTGACAGGTATGTGCTACGAGGGGGGAAGGAAATGAAAAAGAGGTGGGGGGAATGGGGGTGGTGTCATGGGGAGTGGGGGTGCTCGCTCTCTCCTGCATCCTAGCGCTCTCCCTCTGCCTCGCTTCTGCCTTCCCCTCCCCTCTCCCGGTTTCATTAACTCCCCTCCCCCTTCCCTATCGTTCCCCCCTGCCGCTCTTACCAAGCGCAGACCCATCTCCTGCCCCGCCATGCTCCCACTGCTGTTGCTCACCTGCTTCTGCTCGCGCTGCATGCTGGCGGCGGTGTGGCAAATACAGACGGCAGGCTGTGAGTGCGCCCGAGCGGGTGGTGAGGCAGCATGGAGTGGTATGGGAATGGGGTGGTATGGGGTGATGCAACGGAATGGGAAGGTATGGGGCGGTGGGGCGGCGGCTGTTAGAGGGCCCTACGACGACAGCAAGGGCCCTCGATGACCTTTGACTTGGCAGGTCGGCGCCTAACGACTAAGTCTACTTGGCACCGACGCACGAGTTCGGTGGCGGTCATTAGTGACTACGGGTGACTGTGAGCTACTGCAGCGAACTCGGCGGAATCGGTGCTAGGAATGACGAGTCTTGGGGGTCGTAGGTGCCTTGCTTGTGAGGCATGCTGCTCACTTGCTGTGTTGGCAGGAGTAGCGTGCACGGTGAGACATTCCGGTGCCGAGTTGGGTTGGAAATGTGCGGGGCGCGTTCACCCACCCACACACCACTTTCGTGGGGTTGGGTTACTCGCAGCGCCCACGCAACCTCTTGTGAAACCCTCGCCTGCCTATATATATGTTTGTGTTTGCTTGTGTGTTTGATACATTACATATTTCTAGTGAAGTCCAAATGCTATTCAATTCTCACCAAGTCCTTAGAGGCAAACGCTACCGAAACTCTACCAAGTTGCTGGCGCAACATCATTCCCATAGCAGAATCTCTCGTTATCGCTACACTCTCTAATATATTCCTTCATGGTGCGGTGAGCGTGGATCGAACACGCATAGATTTCCGTCGTCGTTGATATTCGCGTTCGTATACTCGCCTTGGCGTGCGGCGTTAATGAAGGGCGCTTATTAATCTAAGTTGAACGTCTCTTGATTTCCCTCCAGTTACGTTCTCGGACCCAAGGATAGGGCGTTTGGTGATTTATTACCACTCGTCTGAGGACCCTTGTGAGGTGACCCCGAGACGAGGGATTTAAGGAAGGGACACTTTATTTTAATTTGTGGTACCTTATAGAGACGTCATAGAGGATGAGTACAGAGGAGGCGAACGTGGAGGCCGGTAATTTGCGCGCCCTAGAGGAGGATCTCGTGGCTCGTCATTCTCGTGGTGAGATTAGTGATATCGAATACGAGCTAATGTTGGAGGGATTGCGCTCGCGTCGGCGTCGTGAGCACCCTTCGCCACGTGTAGAGAATGTTGAGCAAGTTGCGGGAGGTACTAGTGCGTGGGATATGGCTGTCGATGGCGGAAACAGCGATGACGGGGAGTTTGATGGGTTGATGTCGCGTGGGGTCCTGCGAGGACCAACTCGGTTTAGTACGGCTAGCGTTGGCGGTGTACATTTGGCCGGCAAGAGAGCGGTGCGTTTCAGCATCATTTTGGCTGCCCATGGGGAGAACCGGAGAGCACGAGGTGAGCACAATTGGCGGGAAGGGTATACAATAGCCAGAACGTGCGGCAATTCACAGCTTACCTGCCGCCTCTGCCGCATTGTTTGTCTTCACCGTGGCATCTAGCATGAGGCCATAGATCTGGCCCATGACTAGAGCACGGGTGTCAACCACCCGCAGCACTTCATACACGGGTGTCATGAGGCGGAGGACCGCTGTCGCGCACTCCCAAAAGACCTCATCCAAGAGGAGGTGGCGGACAGCTCGCCCCTCCTCAGACCGCGCCACCGCCACCAACTCCCACTCCTCACTGATGATCATCTCCTTGAGCGCTTTCTTTACTTCCAGGAAGCGGGCAAGCATGATAACTTGCGTGCCGAAGCGTGTTGCACCGGGCCGCACCAAGGACAAAGTGCTAAACAACTCGTGGAAGAGCGTGACGGCAGACGCGCTTCCCTTGACGATCATAACCACCCTGTGCACCTGGTTGAGCACTCGCCGCACAGCAAGGACCCTCCCGATGTCGTGGAGCATCAGGTCCAGGACGTGCGCCGCACAGTTGTTGAAAAATACTGCATGAAAACCGTCTCGGAGGATGTCGGCCGCCCTACGGTTGTTGGACGCATTGTCCATGACCACCTGCACCACCTTCCTGTCTCCAACCTCGGCGATTGAGGTCCGGATGAGGCCGGCCAAGTACTCCCCCGTCTTCTTCGCGGTCTTGGAGTCCACGGTCTTCACGATGACAGGCGCCGTGTCATTGTGGGCTATGACACACACGAGCCCACGGCTCTTCATGCAGGTCCAGCCGTCCACGGAGATGGTGCAGCCGCTAGTGTTCCAACTCTCCTTCAGGGGCCTTACAAGGTCCTCGGTATCCGCTACCAGTTTTTGAAGCAAAACACCAGAAACCCTGAAGGGGGATGGGAGGGTGTATTGTTTCCCGAAGGCAACAGCCGCATCCACGAAGTTCTGCACGGCTGGCGACTTGGACGTGTGGAACGCCCAATCGTTATCAGCCACTGCAGCGGCCCATAGGTAGTCCAGTCGAGCGCGTGTAGAGTCATCCACCATGTCGCGGATGTCCCGCTGTCGAGTGCGGCGAGAGGGCTGGATGTCTAGGGTTGAAGAGGAGTCGAGGATTGACGGAGTGGTGCTTCCTGAAAGCTCATTAGCAGCTGCTTCCTCACGAAGTTTGATGGCGACTTCGTGGGTGCACGGCGTCACATTCTTATCTTTGTCCTTCGGCGTCCCATAGATGTGCTCTCCTATGCGTGTAGCGTTAGCAGTCACGGATTCGGAGCAGTGTACGCATTTCGAGTGTACGCATTTCGCCGTTAAGGTGCCGTCTGGTCCCTTAGTCGTTGTAACGTGCTTCCACAGCGGCGATTTCTGCCTCGCCATGGCGTACGTCCTGACTGGCACGAACCCTAGTGGAGCACCCTGAAGACTAGACTAGAGCAGAGCTATGCTCAGAATATGATTAGGGGTGGCTAAACCGAGCTCCTAAGTACCTCGTTGTGGAAGCTGGGTGTGTTGTGTCGAGTGGGTTTTTGAAAAGGTTGAGCTCACAGGATGTATTCTGATTGGTTAGATTGGTTTCGCATCGCGACTCTTGGATGTGTCGCGACTGCGAGCGAAACCAAACCTCCGCCGTGCGAAAATGTTTAACGGAAATCACGAAATGTGGGGTAGAATGGGTACCGTTCGCCACATGTTAGAATGTCGCGCCTCGGGAAATTGTACACGTTCCGCTTTGGCGACTCATGCCAACGAGTTGGCAAAACACGTAAACTCGAAATTGGCCTCGCCAAATGCCCAAATGTCGCGACGCGAAAGAGTAGTAACATTCGCGACGCAGGAAAAAAACACATTCGTGTGTACGGTTGTGAGAGAAATTCACGGTTGGGAGAAATGTGCGTGTGACACTATGATTCCTGATATACACAGACCCGGTTTCATTTTTTCGGTCGAATTATACGGTCGCATTTTTGAACCAAACACAAAAACCTCAATCCACCGTATTAAACTGTATTTTACTGTCGTATTATACGATTCCGTATTATACGGTGAAAATTCAATAATACGGTCGTAAGTTTGAACCCTGGGTGCAATGGCTATGGTGATGCTGCGTGGCTGGAATGGTGGGAGCAGATGGGAGGGTGATGGAGGGCAGAGGAGGAGCACCTGAGATGGGGACAGCTGGTTTATGCAGAGGATGAATGGGGTCAACAAGGTCAACAAGGATGAATGTCACATAAGCTGCCCTGTGCAGCACCACACCGCTGCCGCTACTGTTGAATCTGCGCTGGGCACTTGGGGGAAGCGCAGGGAGGAGGAGGCGGGTGCGGGCATAATCACAGAAAGGAGGAGGATGGCGGCGTCCGTGAGTACCGCATCACAGGTGTGAGCAGCCGTGCCCATGTTTCTCCCGCCTATGCTGCCCGTGCTGCCTATGCTGCCTGTTCCTGTTGCTGGCCGCCATACTCCCTCCTTGCCCCTGTTACCCCCCTCCCACCTGCCGCCGCTGTGCCTCTGTGCATGGATCAAACTGTCACTTATGCATGCTCCCCCCCAGTTTTTGACCCAAGCACCCCCCCCTTCCCCCGTGCTCCCGTGTGGTGGGAGAAGACTGCAGACACGTGGTGCGGACGTGGCGTGGGGGACACAAACAGGGGTCGCGCATGCGCGAAACATACTCAAGGCGTGGGGGAGGGCAGCCGCCACCATCCGCGCCACCAAGGACACCAATATGCGCGTCCAACCCTGCTGCTCTTGATCCTCCTTTCCTTCCCCACTTCCTCACCCGCCCCCCCTGCAGCTAACTCTCAAGCTCGCTGCCCCCCACTCCTCTATCTGCCTGCCCCCACTTCACCCTGCAGCTCCACTGGACCCGCCACCGGTCTACCTGCGCTGCCCGTGGTGCTTGCCGCGTCCAGGCGAAGCGGCCCCGAGGAGGAGCAGAATGCGGGCACGAGTGCTGCGGGGCTCACTTGGGCGGACCGCCGCACGGCACAGAGTGGCGCAACAGGGAGAGCAAGGGGTAGGAGGAGGGACACGGGGAAACAAGAAGGAAAGGGAGTAACGCGGTTGGTGAGACGGAATGGTTTAAGAGCAACGGAGAGCACGGATCTAGGGTAACGTCTCTATGCACACCGATTGGAATGGGGAGCAGAATGCGGGACGCGGGGAGGCAAAGGGCTTTCGAGGCGCCAAAAGAAGCGCGAAGAGAGCGGGATGGGGAACGGAGTGAGTGGTGCGGGCAGGAATCTTGTCGGATCGGCCTACATGCACACTGGGGTGAGTGAACTCAGTGCGACAGACCCCAGTGAGTCAGACCTCAGTGCGACATACTTTAGTGCGACAAACGTCACAGATCCAGCGCGCTGCCTTGTGTGGAGCGATAGTCGCATCGCCATGCCGAAATTCTTCCAATAGGGTGACCACTAGGCAATTGATATGTTATCTGAATAATCGCTGCACTTCAATGTGATGTCGCACTGTGAAGTGCAAAACAATATTGATACAAAAATCATAGCGAACCGACCACAAACTGACTCGTGCTAAGCAGAAATCGAACCTGCGCGGGCAGAGCCCAACAGGTTTCTAGTCTGTCCCGATAACCACTCCGGCATGAGCACATATCTCTATGAGAGCAGTAGCCACATTACTACTCTTACCAGCACATCTGCTTCTCCTTTTGCTCTACCCTGGGAACCCAGTAGCCCTGCCTAACCTCACCTCATCTTCTCGTCCATCAAGACGAAAACCGACGGCATGCAACAGGCTCACTAGTAGTGATGGAGAAGAACATAGGCCCACTACTAGTAGAAGCAGACATTGATGTGGGAGAGGAAGGTGCGGAGCTGGGAGGGGTGGGGAAGGAGGGTTGGGTGGGAGGGGGTATGGAGTGGAGAGGGGAGGGGATAGTACCTTGGGCCTGGATGAACAGTGTGCCCGCGTTGTGGGGTCCCAACTCCATGCAGTGGGGCAGACGTGGGTCTAGGAGAAGCAGGTGCGGTGCAGATCTGGGAGGGAATGAGGCGGAGGGAAAGGAGGAAAAATGGCAGTGGCTTGTGAGAATGATGTGGGAGACAGTGCCATAAGGGTGCGAACGTGTGGTTCAGGAGTCCGTGTAAAGGAAGCCGATGCAGAGCTAGGGTGGAGATGTGGGAGAAAGTGCTGTAGGGGCTTATATTTCTCGGTGTATGGGACGCAGGTGCAGAACTGGAACTGGTGGGGGAGGGGGGAGAGGGGGGAGGGAGGGGGGGGGGAGGTTGGGGGAGGTGAGAGCGGGAAAGAAGGGTGGAAAAGCGGGGAAAGCGGAGGAGCGGGTAGAGGCAGATATGAAGGAGTCACAAGGCGTTGGTGTAGGACAGGAATCACACATGCGATTCTGGATGGATGGGGAAAGGGGGGTTGCGAATGGGAGTTGGATGGAAAGAGGAAATCAGAGTTTGGGAGGGAGGGGAAGGTAGTTGAGGGAAGATGGCGGAACGGGTCCCACCTTGGCTGCAACCAGCTTCTTAACTCACCTGTCCTGCTGTGACCTCCCTCCAGCCATCTCATCCCCCAGCCCAGCCACTTTCACCCACTCCTCACTGAATCTCAGCAACTCCCACCTTGGTGGCGCCCAGCTGCTCAATGCCACCATTCACTTCACTTATCGCCTGCGCATGACTCAAGAGATTCCTACACGCGACTCCTCGTCCCGAACCGACTCTCGCCTTGGCGAGATCCAGCTTGTCAACCGCCCCCGGGCCCCGTCCACCCATCGTTAACACTCGAGGCATCCCCTATGGCCTCCGCCCGCCCCAGCAGCACTCCCCATCCTCCTCCCCTTCACCCCGCCTTCACTCCCCTTCCACCTCCCTTCACTGCTCTCTCGAGTGAACCTCACACACGCCCCTAACCCACAGATTCCGCACACCGACTCTCACATACATACCCACCCATGACCGACTCTCACCTTCGTCATCCATCCGAAGCCACAAGAGTAGTAGATATGCCGAAGTGGCATGTGTGAGCAACCATGCGAAGCTCGGGACCTGGATCTTACTTCACTTCTCATTGTGTGCTTTCGACCTCAACTATATAGACCTGTGGGGAGGTGGGAGCAGAGGCGCGGGGATTGAGGACAACATGAGCGGAAAAAGGGGGGGGGGGGGGGGTTGGAGGGTGACGTGGGGGAAGGGGGAAGAGGCAGAATGGGAGAGAGAAGATGGAGCAATAAATAGGGACAGGGGGAGGTCAGGAAACCAATAGCAGCGGCATTAACTGTTGCAACACGTGGATGGCACAATGACGCCTCAACAAGCTGTGCCACGTGGCATGCGACAACTGAATCTCCTTTATCCGTCCAATCTTCCCCGCACCATCATCCCTTCGCCTTTTACTTTATGCATCATGAAATTTCCCATTAACCATATCTGTCACGTCAGTAGTAAATAGCTCTAATGTAAGCACCGGACTAAGCGTCTTGCTGCTGTGACGCCATGCGTTGAATGCTCAGTGAAACACAGAAAGCGCAGCTTACCATCAGCATTACTCCGTCCTTCCAACCCCTCCAACGAAATCCACCGCATCTTTGACGCCCCAACAAAAAAGCCTGAACAGGCCGAGGCGGCCTCGGTGCATACCGCCTGTGCATGCGGCCAAGTCGCCATCCTATCTCAGAAATCCCGCGAATGGGTGTCGCGATCTGCCTGAGCAGGCAACAGGGACCGCCGAAGGAAGGCTGCATCACTTGTGCGGCGTCGCACTAGCATCACCAGCTGCAGCAACAGCAGCAGCTGCGCGCCGTCGCGGCGCGAGGCGAGAGCGAGCAGCAGCATTCGCAGCAGCAGCGGCGTAAGCTGCGCGCCGAGCAAGGCGGGAGTGCGCGATGTGGGGAGAGTGATAGTTGTCTCGAATGGACTCGAGTCTGATAATGCCGCAACCTAGCAGCGGCTGGCGACACGGGCAGGAGGACGTGTCGTTGCTGTAGCTGCTACTTGAAAATAATGTCTGTTTGTGGCTGCAGGGGCTATTGATGGGACTAATAGTGGATTGAGTTGACGTTGACAAAGACGCTG